TCCTGCTTCCAGCTTGAAATAGAGGTGCGGGTCCCCTCTCTGTGCTGACCCTGTGGAAATACCTCCCAGAAGACTCCACCATGGTGATGCTGTTCTCTTGTTACTTACAGCTGATTTTTCAGCCCCAGCTAACCAGCATCAATTGTCCCAAAAGTAAAGCAAATGTTTTGCTTCAGGTTCTGGTCTCTTCTTAATCACAGCTGATTCTTCAGCCCCAGCCAACCAGAACCCACAGATTCTCAATCCAAAATCTCACATGAATAGCCCTGATAGTCTCTGCTTCCCTTTGAAGCTTCACAAGCCAGGCCTTCATCGTCTACAACTCTTTCAGCATAATTGTTCCAAGCTCCACTGCAACAAACTCTGAGCACGCAATGGCTTTTCCAGCCCAAAGTTCCAAACATTTCCACAATCTTCCCAAAAAACACCAAGGTCAGGTCTGTCACAGCAATATAACACTCTCTGGTACCAATTTCTCTTTTAGTTTGTTTCTTCATTGCTGTAACAAAACACTCTGACCACTACCAACTTGGGGAGGAAAGGGTTTATTCAGCTTACATCTCCCAGGTCGCAGTTCATCAGGGAGCCCAAGGTAGGAACTCAGGGCAGGAACCTGGAAGCAGGAGCTGGAACACAGACCATAGAGGAACACTGCTTACTGGCTTGCTCCCCTGGCCCCTGCTCAGCCTGCTTTCTTATGTAACACAGGCCCACCTGCTAAGGGGTGGCACCACTCACAGTGGGCTGGGTCCTCCCACATCACTCATTAAGAAGATGCCCCTCAGACATGGCCACAGGCCAGTCCAATTGAGGCAATTCCCCAACTGAGGCTCCTTCAACCCAGGTGTGTCAAGTTGACACTAAAGCTATCCAGCACAAGCAGTTAGTGCTCTTAAACACTGAGCCATCTCTCTAGCTCTTGAGGTCATTAGGTATTTGAGGAATGAATGAATTTACTAGGTTATAAGCAAAATCTTAGGATGTAACTTTCTATGCTATTCTGTAAAAATGCAAGACATTTTCTTTTTCTAAACAACTTCTTTTTCCTAAACCAATTGACAATGACAGTGTGATGGCTAATCCTGGGTGTCAACTTGACTGGATCTGTGATTAACTGAAATGAGAGAGATCTTGATTGGATCATCTGAAGCTGGAAGACACACCCTAAATATGGGTGTTACCTTCTGATGGCAGCCCATATAAAAGGCCATGGCAGAGAACGCCTAGCTTCTTGCTGCTAGCCTTCTCTCTCTCTGGTGAGTTCGTCTTGCTGCTGTAGACTGAAGACTAGCTGATCTTTTGGAATTTGTCAGACCTTCAGCGCCAGATTATGACTACTGAGACATCCAGCCTCGTGGACTGAGGGACTACAGATTCTCAGCCTCTCCAATGTGGTACAGCCATTGTTGGACTACTTGGACTCTATCCTGTGAGCTAAGCTGATAAATCTCTACACATATATATTCATCCTACCGGTTCTGTTTCTTTGGAGAACCCTAATACAGAAAGCATAGAAGACTTTAATAAATATTATTCATAAGAATCTAAGGTTTTAGTGCATAAAAATTATCTTTGGTGAAAAGGCAAATGAATAGTAAGGTTTTAATATACGTGTTTATGGCAGTTACATGGCTGTGTCTTCAAGAATACTGGGTGCTACTGTCTGGGGAATTGAAGATACAAATGTACCCCTTTCTCAGAATTGTATGGTAGGGTTTTTTGTGATCCTTTTTTATTTATTTTGGTAAACTTTTACTTACTAGAAGTTTCAAAATACCTGACATCCTTACTACTTCATTATTTGCTCAAAAGACAGAACTGATCAGCCTCTTGCAATCTTGTTCCTTATTCTCTTTGCTTGAGCATTTATCAAAGAATTAATGGAGTCCAATTAACTGAAGCAGTCCAGAGGCAGCCATGTCGAATTTGGAATCAGGCCCATGCAATGCTAGTATGTTCCTTCTTCATAGAATGAGAAAAGGTCAACTTCAAAAAATTTTTTAAACTGTTTTAGTTAGCATACAGAGTAATAGGTTTCACTGTGACATTTTCATATATATACATTTGTTCTTATTCACCCCTCACTGTCTTCCCTGATCCCATCTCCCCTCCTCTTCCTGGTCCCCTTCTCCCCACCCTCAGTCCTTCCTTCTGCTTTCCTTTCACAAATATCCATTACCTCCTTTTGTCCTCTTCCCTTCGAATCTCCATCCCTTCTCATAGCCTTCCACTCTCATCACACACACACACACACACACACACACACACACACACACACTTACTTACTCTTATGAAACTTAAATGTAAATATATTTATCAGGACAAAGGCAGACAAGTCCTTACGAAATCTCCGTGAGCTGAGCAGTAGGATGGGCATATGAGGATGACTTCTGTCCTAGAGAAATGTACTGTCTATGTACCTCCTATACTACCAGTTTGAAGTCAAGTGCCTCAAAAGGCCAGAAATTGAGGGAGCTGGAAGATGAGAGAGTCTTTACTCAATACACCTGGGATCAAGTTCTACATTTTTAGTTTGTCCAGATGTTGTGAGCTGGTCTCTCTCAAAGATATGTCTAGATGTTAAAATACTAAATATGTAAATGTGGCTTTATTTGCAAAAAGAGTTTTTGCAGATGTAATTAAGGAACTGGGGATGAGATGATACTTGATTATTCTGGTGGGTCTGAAAACAAGTTGTCATTGGGACCTTTTGTAGGTTCTTAGTCTTATAGATAAAACAGTTTAAAAACAAACTCAGAAGAAAACTCAGGATAATTTTATTATAGTTTGATTTTGCTGGAGATATATATATTATATAAAAATTATATATATAGTGTGTGTGTGTGCACGCATGTGAGCGAATGTGTGTACACGCACATGCACTTGCCACAATGCATTTGTAGAGGTCAGAGGATAACTAGCCAAGTCTGTTCCATGGATCAAACACAGTTGTCAGGCTTGGGGGTAAGCACCTTTACAACCTGAGCCCTCTTGCCAGCCTTTTTGTGTTGTTGCTGAGTTTGAGGAAAGCAGAGTCAAAGATCTTGGCAGCTGCCAGGAGGAAGAAACTGGGTAAGAGGAAGAAAGTTAGGCTTTTCAAATGAAAGGCAGGCAGGATCAGAGCAGCTGTATGGACTGGCAGAAGGGTCTTCAAAGAGAGAATGCCCTGACAGTCAAGGCAAGCAGGGTTGGGATTTGGATTGGTATCCTGAAAAGAGAGATGAAAAGAGGGAAGTAAATACATTGTATTTTTTAAGTTAAATCCAGAAAGCAAGCAGGCTAATGAGAGTCTGTAAGAAACTGCCCTGCAGGAGGGTCTTCTGGGATACTTGTAAGTACATCTTTCATTGAGAGGATAATTATTCCCCCAATCTTAACACATGTATTGAGGGAGGGGCTGGAAAGATGGCTCAGATTAGAGCATTGGCTGCTCTTGCAGAGGACCCAGGCTCCATTCCCAGCACTCACATGGTAGCTTACAACCTTCTATAACTCCAAGGGAATCCAATGCCCTCTTCTGACCTCTCTAGGCATTGTACAACATGGGTACACTTACATACATGCAGGTAATACACACGCACATAAAAAAATAATACTTTAAAAAAAACATGTATTTAGGTGTATCAGGTTTCATGACATTTCTAGAACAAACAGCTTTCTGAGAGGAGGTTTTCTGTCCAGGTGATGGGCAGTCCCATTTGGATTAATTCTTCAGTAGACAACACTATATTTTTGTAATTGTAAATCTTCTGAGCAATTTGGAATGTTGCACCAGCAGAGGTGTGACATGTTTCATTCTTCTCGTGTGGTGTGGTGTGTGTGTGTGTGTGTGTGTGTATCTCAGAGTAAAAAGAATTTTTAAAATTAAAAAATTAAATGTATAAAATAGCCATGCTTTACCAGGAGGAAATAACCTTCCCTTATTGGGTCACAACAAAGCCCTCCTACCTCCACTTTCCTCCCTTTTGTCCAGTATTTATAAAATTTATTTTCATAAGCCTCCTTTAGTTGTATACTAGGGTATTTTAAATCTCGAAGGGTAATCGTGATACATCCTCCCTCTTTTACGTATTATTTCAAATTCTAAAGAGGGTCAGTTGTGGTATTTTTTCCCCTCAAAAATCAGATTATCAGAGGCACAGGAGGGAGGGTCAAAAGCTGATTATGGCCTCCAAGCTTGTTTGACAAGCATTCTTACAATAAATATAAAGACACAGGAAAAAGAAGACAGGGGCAGAGATAGAAGACATGGAACACAAGCCAGGTCACACCGTGGAACCACCAGAAGCTACAAAGGTTCGTTCACTCCCAGTGTTCCAAAAGGTGCTACGCTCCGCCAACATCCGGATCCCATGTTTCTAGCCTAAAGAACTAGTAGACAATAAGGCTCTGTTGTTTGACACGAACAAGTTTGTTCTGTTTCCTCGTCTGTAAATGAGGTCATAGCTAACTCTATTTCCTGAAATGGAAAAATGGGCAAATCTATGTATGTCCAAGAACCGGCCGACACTAAAACTGACAAGCATTTATTGAGAGCTTTTCGCGATCACTAAGATCCTTAGACGTGAGATGTATCATCATTTTATTGATCAGGATATCGAGGCGCAGCATTTTAGCAACTGTCTTCTTTGGAAAGGCACGCATGCCCGCTAGCTATGTGAATCCTAATTCGGATTACAGGATTAACCCCTTCTGCGTCTAGAAGGCCGTATTCAAGATGCGGTTGGTGGTCGTAAGAAGCCTATGTCTTCCCCAGAAGCGACGGGCTGGAGCGTCACTTTCCGGCGCCACCTAGGCGTCTTCCATACGACGGATCCCTTCGAGGGTCAAAACCCGCGAACGGCGGAGTCCTCGCGCCTGTGGATGAGGTGTACTAGGGCAGACCGATAGAGCTCCGATTTCGGGTTTCCTCCTAAATTCCACCCCTTGACCCTAGCGGAAGAATACAAACGGAGGATCCGGGGCGGGGCAAAGCGCAGAAGCGGAAGCGGAAGCGGCGGTGGGCAGAGGAGCCCGGCGCGCCGCGGCCCCACGTGTGCGGTGAGTGCTGCGGCGCGGGCGGTCCCGGCGGTTTTGGCGCCCGCCTCTGACAGGGAGGGCTGTCCGCTAGCGGAGGGGCTTCCGGCCGGCCCTGCGCTGGGCAGCCTGCCGTGGCGGCCGGAGTTCGGGGTTTGGCCAGGGCAGGGGTAAGCCCTCTTCTGTCACGTTGTTCCGGTGCTGAGCTAGGTGAATCGGCTTTGCTTTCCAACCCCGGCCAGTGCTGGTCACGGTCACCCTGCCCATCTCCTGTGACAGTGCGCGTCCGACCTGTGCGAGGTGCTGCGGTTGTAGCCTGAGTGTATGCAGTGAGTGGTTATAAACGCTTGAGGGGAAGTAGACTGAAGAAGTGAACCCTAAACCGTGATCTAAAGTTTGATGGGCGGCAACCCTTAGATCTGGAAGCCCAAGCAAGAGCATTTTAAGCAGAGGCAATGTTGGGCTAAGTCCCGGACGTGGGGGCTAAGAATGTGGGATGAGTTTTTGGAGGACATAGTAGGCCATGTTGTCGCTTTTCTTCTTTTCTGGTAATGGGAAATAGTCTTGTTTGAATTCCCATGCATAAGGAATATTGTAGGCTTATAAAGGGGAGGGGACGCACATGACATGCCTTGAGTTTCTTCATAAAAATGCTTTACATGTGGAATTTGGGTAAGGGTTTTTTCTTTTTCTTTTGGTTTTGTTTTGTTTTTTGAGACAGGGTCTCCCAGTAGCCCCAGCTGGCTTGGAAGTCCCTATGTAAACCAGACTGGCTTCCATCTCAGAGATCCCCCTGCCTCTGCCTTCCAAGTGCTAGGATTAAAGGAGTGGCCCTGATAAGAAGATTCTTGATGTTTTACCTTCTAGTATTGATAGTGGAGGTCTGTGGAAATTAGAGGTATTTGTAAGGGAATTCCAGAGAACTTATTAATGGATTGAATGTGACTGTGATTCTAACACACAGAGAAGTAAATATCGAGGGTAGTGCTCACATTTCTTAAGCCTGGGCAATGGAGTAGATGGTGGCTCGTTGGCTCGGGTGAGGAAGAATACGCAGGAAAACATAGATGGGCTATTGTTTGGTGTAAATTTATTGTATCTTGCAATAAAAAGAGGATGTAAATGGAAAAACTAAAACCCAAATATACCCTGTAGCTTATTTAATAGTATTATACTAAAGTTAATTTCTTATTTTGTTAGACTGTCATATTAAGTTGCTAACAATAGAGGAAGCTAAGTAATGCTCTCTTTAATGCTTCCATAAGACAAATTATTTCAAAATGAAATATGTATGTCAACAAGTGGCTCTTTAGAAGCCAACCTGGGAGCTCCTGTGGGAGTTCTGATCAGCAGTGGTCATAGGAGACCGCTGCATATTGTAGGTGTGACTATGGTGACTAGCCAAGTGATAAAACTGCAATTCGAAATGGCCATAGGAAATTTTCAGTTCCAGGGCTAGCCTTTTGGATGTTTTTTGTTTGTTGAGATAAGGTTTCCTTGTAGCCCCATCTGGCCTAGAACTTGGAGAGATCAGCCTGCCTTTGCTTCCTGAGTGCTGGGATTAACGGTGTGCACTACCGTACCCAGGTGCTGCTATCCATTTTTCAGAATCACTTTAGTAAAATTCAATGATGTCTAGATAAAACAACACTTTTTTTTTTTTAAGGTACAGTCTCATGTAGCCCTCTAGCCTCAAACTCCCTGTGTAATGGTAAACTGACCTTGAGCTTTTGATCTTCAAGCTTCTACCTCCTTAGTGTTGGGATATTGGCAGTGCACCACCACACCCTGTTTGTTCTTTGCTGGGAAGTGAACCCAGGACTTTGTGCATACTAGGCCATGCAGACTGAACTACATCCCCTGCCCCTAGAACAGCATTTTCCAGAGCGTTCCCTGGCACCCTCCTGTTTCTTAGATGTATTCCTGGGAAAAGTGATTCAAATAGGTTTGGAAAGTCCTGCGTAGTTTTTACTTGGCAATAGGTGGCTTATAGTAGCAAATTAAAGATTTGAAAAGCGTTTCCTTACATGCTGGTTATTGCTGTTAAACTGACTGTTTCTCAGATACATTTTAACTAGAGCCTTTTTTTTTTTTTTTTTTTCTTATTCATGTCAGTGTCCTAAGAAATTCTTTTTTGGTTTGATTTGAGTTTTGAGACATGTTCTCTATGTAGCCCAGACTGGCCTCAAGCTCATTGTGTTGCCCAGAGAGGCCTTGAACTCAAAGTGATCCTCCTGCCTCAGTCTTCACTGTGCTAGAATTACAAGTGTGTGTCACCACATCCAGTGAGAAATTAGGTCCTGAATGGAAAATTGTAATCTAGAAATACTATCTAAGAATTGACTATTTAGAGTCAGTTTTAGAAATGAAAGAACTTCGGAACGTACAGGCACAAGTCTCATGAGTTTTGCCTTTGTGTCTGTATCTCTTCTGCTTCTTGCAAAGTTTATGAGTTGGTGAGGGGGTGTCTTCTACCCTGCCTGTGCATCACAAAGGTTACTGAACCCTACAAGGGACCTGTTAGGTAGATTCCTCTAAGTAAAATGTTAAATGGTTCAGTATGACTTAAAGTTCAACAAGTTATTTGGGTACCTCTAAAACAGTTGGACTGTAACCTTCATTTTAACTTTATTGGGTTTTCTTTCATTAAATTGGAATGTGTACTAACTGTAGCCCATTGCTTGCTTGGCTTTTTAGGAGAGATACCAAGAAATCAAATGGTACTGTTGTCAGCTACTCGTCAAGTCTTTCAAGGATGAAAAACGCAGACATTAGTGCTTACTGTTAATAGTAACAGTGGTCTTTTCAGCCAGTGCTGTTGCTTGTGTTACCTCCGGGTGTGGCTCACACTGGCCAGGGTGTATGCATGCTCTGAGTGTTCGGATTGGTATCTTTTTCAACCTTTTTAAAGTCTAAGGGGCGGTGGTGTACTTGCCAGATTTGTGAGCACACGCAGGCTATGCCCGGGTGATTTATACTGCACCTGAACTCAAGGACCAAATGTGGCACTACTTAATCTCTTACTTGATGAGCAGTTTTGATTCCTTCTGGTTTTGGCTTTTGTTTTCCAGAGTTGCTATGATGGAAGTCAAAGGGAAAAAAAAATTCACAAGAAAAAGTACGAAAACATCACAAGAAAAAAATAAATTTCATAAAAGCAGAGGTAAGAGAGACTAGCTTTAAAATGTTGATTGCTCTGAAGATTCCAGTTGGGAGTGGAGGAGGGCATAGCAGAGGTCCCTCTTTTTATGAACTAGGATTATAATAAAAATAGTAAGAAGTCACTGTTACTGTTTATGAATTAGTATGTTCCTTATAGAATAAACTTTTAAGAAATTGCCAGAATGCTTGAGGAATATTTTGTCATAACGATCCCTTGTATCAGCAGTTGCTGTGGCTCCATTGTGTTTGCATTCATTCACTGTACACTTTTTTTAATTGCTTGAGAAATTCGACTAGCTAATCCATACTGCTGCTAAAGCACATGCTTTTAGTGGCTGGGTTTCCAGTGGTGATGCCTTTATTATTCCATCAGGTGTCAGTATTGCAGAGAATAAAGTCCAGGCTGTACAAATAACTCAGTGTTTCTTGAGCACTCTTTGTTTTTCCTTGTAATGGTCATAAGGCATAGCTGTTGCTCTTGGCATCTCATTTGTTAAAGTGTAAGCTTTATTGATCAAAGTTTTCTATCATTCATGTATATGTATGTATGTGTGTATATATATATATAGTTTGTTTGTTTGTTTTTTGGTCTTTTTGAGACAGGGTCTCCCTGTAGCCCCAGCTGGCCTGGAACTCACTATGTCACTATGTAGACCAGGCTGGCCTTGAACTCACAAAGATCTGCCTACCTCTGCTTCCCAAGTCCTGGGACTAAAGGCATGTACCACCACACCTGGCTTCTATCAAATAATTTTTTCATAGGCTTTAAGATTTTTTTTTTCAAAATTCAAAATTTTGAGAAATAAAATATTAATTTACCTTTGATAAATGTTTACTATAAGAATGTTCATTTTATTGTTATATATTTATTATGTTATTGAACCTCTGAAATTTTTATCATATGGATGATATGAAGCCATTAAAGCAAAATACAAAAGGTATATGAATAATACCATGTGCTCAAAACTGCAGAATATACCAGACCAATAGTAGTGGTTGTTCTAGGAGGTGAATTATAGTTTTATTGTATATCTCTCTGCTTTCTAGGGTTTGCATTATGAACCTCTCAGAAAACATTTTCCTTTTGTTTTAGTTTGGTTATTCAAATCCTAATCTAGTAATAGAGATATTTGAGAGTAAGGCCACCTGTTCCTCTAAAGAACATATTCTCTGCAATATATAATCTGGTAAATAGCAGAGACCTAATAATCAATGAACTAATAATTATTACTATTATTATTATTATTACTAGATTCTAACTCCTCAAAGACGTTCCCAAGGAAAGTTGTTAAGGACAGTGGACCTAAAATCACATCGAAGAAATTTGAGAAAAGTGCCCCAAAACTGGGCAAAAAGGGTGTGAAGCAGTTCAGGAGTAATCAGCAAGGTGACAAAGGACCAAAGAACAAATGTCAGGAGAAAAATAAATTCAACAAGAAGAGGAAATTCCAGGCAGACAGTAAAAGTGATGGTAAGTGTGGTTTGCACAGTCTTTGTAGAAGCTTTGCAGTGGCCACTTAGTGTCTGTTGGTGCACAGGGTCTTGGCACATGTGCTAGAGACTCCTGTTCTTGTTCCTAGATAGACAGCAGTTTGAAGTGAGAGAAAGGAATCAGATGGGCTTAAGTGAACAACAGTTTCTTTCCTGGTCTAATTTCTCATACTTAGAGATCTCTGTAGCCAGGGAATTAAACTGAATTTCAGTGGCTTAATATAGTGGAGACTTGAAACATTCTTTTTTAAAGGCCAAAATGAATTTATCAGTTTGTTTACTCATTCAATAGACATCTACCTTTTTTATTCATTGTGCTAGGAGACAAGTACAAATTTAAGGTCAATAATACCACAGGGCCCAACTAGTCATCAAACCTGAAGCTGTCCTTGCAGACCCAGTGTGTTCCAACTAAGTGTCAGCCTTGGTGAATAAGATTTATAGACTCTGCCCTTACCGGGCTTAACCCAGTGTAATATCATCAATCCATTACGTAGTTCAGATTCAGTGACAGTTCCAGATGTGTAGTATGCACATGATAGATTTAGCTATTTAATTTATTCAGGACAACTTACTCCCTCATTAGAAGTGTTCCTAAGGCTTGTTTGTCATTGAGAGGAATTGCTTGCCTGTTCATCAAGATGTTCATTGGTTCTCAACTGGCACTTGGCTTTTCTCAGGTGCTAGTTTAAACAAGCAGCTTTTCGGTGCTGATCTCCATCCTCTCTCCCATCACAAGTGTTCGATGTATTTCTCTAGCACAGCATGTATTCTGTCTAACACTGTTCCCTGCCTGCCAGGAGGGACTACTGCCATGACACTGTTTCTGTCTAGTCCCTAGCCTGGTCCTTGATCTACACTTTGCCCAAGGATTCCTCACTGGAGGGACAGCAGGCTTGAGACAGGAAGGTGGGCCAGGGAACAGGGCATTTCATTGTTTCTCAGCAGGTTTGCATGATCTATCCTCTCTCCAGTCCCTGTTTATTCTCTTCTTTTCACTGTTTTTCTTCCTCTTCCCCCATTCCCAGTTATCCTAACAGCTTTTCTGTCTCTCCTCTTTATAGTCTGTCCAGTAGTTCTAATGGGAAATGCTGAAAATATAATGTTTAGTGTAGGTGGTAAGAACCCTTAAATTTTACAGATGAAAACATCCATAGAAAAAGGCAAGGAACAAATAATTGATAATTATATATAGGTTTTAGTATGGCTGAAATTGTAATTTGTTTCATTTTTTTCTGTTTTTTTGTGATGGATGTGTTTTATAATCAAAGAAAGGGAGCTATTTAGAAATAACTAATTTTCAAGACTTTGAAGGGTGGGCGATACTTGTGTAAATAATACCTGAAAGGAATATTTATTTCATTTGCTTGTTCTCACTGGTTGTTTTTATTGTTGAGAACAAAATCAGATTTCAGAGACAAAAAGGAATATGCCAAGCATGGTAATGCCTTTAGTCCCAGCACTTGAGAGGCTGAGGCCAGCCTGGTCTACATAGCAAGTACCAGGCCAGGTGGGTCTACAGGGAGACCATGTCTCAAAATAATATTTAAAGGAATAGGTAGATACTCACTTTTTATGGCAGTAATCCGTAGAAAACAATGGTTTGATTATGCGTTGTCCTAAGCAAAAAAACACCTAGGGTTGTCTCTGGATTTGAATCTTGGTTCTACCACTGTGGTTATATGGTTTCAGACAAGGGAGTTTACTGTGTGGACCTTTGTTTCCCCAGCATGGAAGGAGGAATAAAACTAGTACCCATCTCACATTGTAAAAATTATATAGTGGATTTTTACTTTTTATTTTGTTCCATTTTTGGTACTTGGGATTGAACCTTAGATTTAATTTTTCTAATTAGGTATCCTGTTAAGAGTCAGTAAGGAGCTGTTATATGGCTGACCAAATATCCAGCACTTTAGAGGCTGAGGCAGGAGGATTTTGAGTTCAAGGCTAGCTTGTGCTTCATAGGAAAACCCTGCCTGGAAAAGAAACTGTTAAATGAATAAGTTGTTTTAAGCAAAGTTAAAAATTTGTAGATTACTCAAAAACTGTAGTTAAGTATAAGTTTAGGGAAAATTATATTTCCTTCCTTGGAGCTTCCAGAATGAATATTAGTCCTGGCTGGTGATTGCTTTTTATACTTAATTCACACTTAATTCATATTTGTATGTAGTATTTGGAATGCTAAATGCAGTTTAATATGATATCTAGCAGCAACAGCCAAGAAACCAAAATGGGATGACTTCAAAAAGAAGAAGAAGGAACTGAAGCAGGGCAGGCGGCTCAGTGACAAAACCAACTACGACATCGTTGTTCGAGCAAAGCAGATTTGGGAGCTCTTGAGAAGGTACTGCCTGCCAGTAGCACCCTGTTAGTCCTTGTGAGACGATGGGAGCGTGACAGTGTGCCGTGTAAATAGAGCAGTGTCCCCAGATCACTGAGACAGCAATACTCATAATCCCTAAAGAGGCAGCGCTGTGGGAATCACAGGATGGTGTAGGGTAGACTATGGAAATGGATGAGCGTCAAAGTGGATTTGATATCCATCCGGAAAGATTTCTCGGAAAATGGAGGACAATTTCTTACCAGCTAGATTTTGAAGTACTTAAGTATTTGGTATCTTAGATTTGTTCTGTTATTTTTCTTTCCTTCTGAAGTTCTGGCTTTTAAGATTTAGATTGATGTGTAAAATTATACCTTGTGAGATGAGTTTCTGCCTCTGAGAAAATTACTTTTGTCTGGCTGCTCAGGAATAATAATTTTAATGTCAGGTTTGCTGCCTTCAAAGGAGAGAATCATGGTGAACTAGTGAACGTACATTGACGTGGTGTTTAGCTTTAATGTTCAAAATAACTTAAACTGTGCTTTTTCTGCATTTGCAGAAAAGACTGTGACAAAGAAAAAAGAGTGAAGTTGATGAGTGATTTGCAGAAGTTGATTCAGGGGAAAATTAAAACTGTAAGTAGAGTGCTTGTTCTAATTTAAAAAATTCAAGTTGCCTTGCTCTTAGGGAAGGGTAGTTCATTCATGACAGGGGACATGGTCACTGTTTCCAGAGTGTTGGGCTAAACAGATAAAGGTTACATGTTCCTTACTGAAATGGTTACAACTAGAGTGTTAGAGATTTTGCTTTTCTCTAGTACCGTAACAGTTTTACACACATGCACGCACTCACACACAAATGGAGATGGAGAAGGCTATTTCAGGGATAGGGCGCAAGTCTCAGTGAATTCATTTGCATCATAAATCCTTATACACATTGCCTGAGGTAATTTTGTATGCTGCTTTTACTGTACCTGAGTTTTGACTGCAGCCATTGCCACCTGTGGTCAGATACGGAATTTTCTGCTTGTGACAGTTAATGCTCAAAAAATTTCAAATTTCAAATTTTGGAACATACTGTGTGTTGATTAGGGATGCTAGTCTGTATTGAAGGACCTTAAGGTGCATAGTGGTGACAAGACTCAAGTTGGCTGTGTTGTTTTTAAATTATTCACTTCAAATAAGTTGTTTATGTTATCTCAAGGAAAAGGTCTTGAAGAATAATATTTGTCTTAAATGTCTTGCTCCGGTCCATTAATTTAGTGTATTCTGTATTTGGGATATGCTTCAGTGTTTCTCGTTCCTTCTTGCTTTTACAAACATCATGTAAGGCTGTCCTGGGACTCACTTTGTAGACCAGGCCTTGAACTCACAGAGATCCACCTGCCTCTATCTCCCTCCCGAGTGCTGGGATTAAAGGTGTGCACCACCACGCCTGGCCCTCTTTTCTTTTTTTAATCTTAATTTTTTTTTAATTTTATTTTATGTATATGAGTGTACTGCCTCATGTATGTACACCCATGTCATACAGTGCCCTTGGAGGTCAGAAGAGGGTGCCTGTCCAATCCCCTGGAACCGAAGTTAGGTTGGCTGTTAGCTGCCATGTGGGTGCTGGGAATCAAACTCTGGTCCTCTGGAAGAGCAGCCAGTGCTCTAACTGCTGAGCCATTTCTCCAGCCCCAAGAAAATTGGTTTTAAATCATATGTCTCACTTATCTAGTAGCTCCTTGGTTTATGTACATTACCATAAACAGCCTTTTTTTTAAAAAAAAAAAAAATTGTTTTTGTCTCATTAAAGATACCTGTAAGCAAAGTGTCATAGCACATGCCTGTAATCCTAGCACTTGGGAGACAGAAATGGGAGGATGAGTTCAAGGCCAACCTGGACTACATTAGACTCTGTCTCAAAAATAATAGGGCTAGGTGTGGTGGCTCATTCCTTAATTTCAGCACTCAGAAAGCTGATGCAGAGGGATCTCTGAAATCCAGGCCCGCCAGGGCTGTATGGCAAGACCCCGTCTCAAAAAAACCCAAATAAACAGTGACCACCCCCAAAGATGCCGTATATGTATAAATTTCTCTTAAATTTTGAGATTTGTGACTTTGATGGAAGTGGGGTTTTTTACCTTTTAAGAGTTTCTTTACCTTTTAATCATTTGGGATTAAAAATTTTGAAAAGACAAAATAAGCAGCAAATAAACATGTTTAGACTGCTACTATAGCATTGTAAGAATAATCCTGCTTGATTATGCATTTTGCTATGTGTACATTTTGTTATAGAAAATTATCAGTGAGTCCTCGGTGATGATGTCATACAGCTGTAGGGGTGAGAGGGTAGCTTGAAGATGCAATTTGAAATGCAACCACTTTTCTAGGAGTTTTACTGTGTGCACACAGAGATAATGAAATGTGAGGAGATGGTGACGAGCGTCTGCAATTGCCAATGTCCTGTCTCTATGTAGTGTTTATTATGCAGCAAGACTTTGGGACTGCTCTCTCAGATCAGTACCTTTGGTTGCCAAGCATGCTCTAACTACTAATGTGAAAATCATAGACTAATAAACCTTTTTAACTTTCAAAGAAATGAAAACCGCAGTTCACGTAACGCTTCCGTGTTTTAATTGTAATGATAAAAACATTGAAAAGTGGTTAAGTCTGTCCCTGACTCTAACAAGAAACTTTGAAAGAAGTAGCAATAAAGTGTAAATAAGAAACACAATTCTTCAGAGAGCGTGTATCTGAAAGCTCAAACTGTTTTTCTCCAGATTGCATTTGCACATGATTCAACACGTGTGATCCAGTGCTTCATTCAGTATGGTAATGAAGAACAGAGAAAACAGGCTTTTGAAGAATTGCGAGGTATTTGTTATGTACTGAGTATTGTTACAGGTTGCAGCAGGTCACTTGTTTTCTCTTGGAATGCTGAGGGCTATCCTAGAAAGTAATTCTGTGGCTTTTTTCCTAGGAGAGCATTTTTGTTGGTATTTTTCTTTGCGTGGAACAAAGCATTACTCGTGTTCTCAGAACTGTGTGTTTATTTCTTTATATTTCTAGAGAACTGAAATGAGCATATCAAATCATTGTGATGCTTTTTTCCCCCAGGTGATTTGGTTGAATTAAGTAAAGCCAAATACTCAAGGAACATTGTTAAGAAATTTCTCATGTATGGGTAAGTTGTCATTTATGATTTATTTTTAGTTTCTCGATTTGGGGATTCCACGTGTGCTCAAATGTTTCTTTAAATCTCTGGTCATAGTAATAACCCCCGCAGGCACTGTAGTATTCCTAGACCACAACACCTTAAAGCAGTTATTGAAATTACGGTGTAAAATTATGGTCTGCCGTCATCATTATTAAGGACCTATATTTATAACTGAGTTATAGAAGAAGAGAAATGGAATAATTAACTTTTAGTTACCAGTATTTAGAGAGCAGAAGGCTAGGAAGGCCAGATGAGCAGACTCTGAGGTAGGGTCAGGTGGGGTCATTGTGTTAGTAGCTGTCAGGGTGAGAGGACTTCTTTCATAGAAGGGATTGGTACTTACCTACCCTAGTTTTTCTGGATGTGATAATGTACCAGAGTATGTGATAGCAACAAAAGAGATAAAACATATTCAGTTAACAAAAGTTTTGAAAAATGTATTCCTGGCTGTTAGTAACTGCTCAAGTATTTTAGACTAAATCCTGTTTTAAAAAGATCGTGGCTGGGCATGGTGGTACACCTTTAATCCCAGCACTTGGGAGGCAGAGGATCTCTGTGAGTTTGAGGCCAGCCTGGCCTACTTAGTGAGTTCCAGGACAGCTGGAGCTACAAGGAGACCCTGTCTCAAAAAGACCAAAAAAAAAAAAAAAAAAGATCGTGGAACCTAGTGTGGTGGTTCATGCCAGCACTCAGGAGCCAGGCCAGCTTGGTCTCCATATATATTTCTATTTGCCTCTTTGGCTTCTACCTTCTCTTGACTTATTTTCCTTGTCAAGCTGAACAGTTTCAGTGCTGGTCAGTTTGGGGTTTTTTGTTTTCTTTACTTTAAATTTTATTTATTTTATGTGTATGAGTGTTTTGCCTATAATAGGTAAGTACACTCGTAATTTATAATGCCTTCAGAGGTCAGAAGACAGGGTCAGATCCTGGAGAACTGAAGTTAGAGACAGTTAAGAGGGTGCTGGGAACCAAACCCATGTTCTCTGAAAGAGCAGTCAGTGCTCTTAACCACTGAGCCATCCCTCCAGCTCCTGGTCACAGTTCTTGATGTGTCTTAGTTCATTTAATTCTCATAGCAACTGCGTTTCTATTTTGTGAATGAAGCAGAGGCACAGGTTCTAGGGCTGGGGCTGTAGCTCGATGGTAGAGTACTTGCCTCAGGTACAAGAGGCCCTAGGTTCAGTCCCTAGTACTGTCAAAAATAAAACAGAAAGGAAGTTGCTCAGGGTCTTTCATCCAGTCAGCAGAGCCAGGTTTCTGGTCTAGGACTACTATTCCAAGTCTCCTCAACCTTAAGGAAAGTATAAGGCAGTTTGCTTTTCCTACTCCTAGGCTCTTCTGTATGGGAGAGCATCCCTCTCACACACAAACACTGATGCATTAATAAGCTGAGTTATTGCCTCCCTGTTTTCTTGTCCTATCATTTGCTTTTTCCATTGTCCTATTGACTTTAGAAGTAAACCACAAATCGCAGAGATTATCAGAAGTTTTAAAGGCCACGTGAGGAAGATGCTTCGGCATTCAGAAGCATCAGCCATTGTGGAGTACGCATATAATGACAAAGCCATTTTGGAACAGAGGAACATGCTGACAGAGGAGCTCTATGGGAACACATTTCAGCTTTACAAGGTAGGCTTTCCAGAAGTTCTTTTCTGGTATATTTATTTTTCTATGTAGTCTTTAAGTGCCAGGATCCTATATTTAGAATGTATTTTTTATCAGACTAGGCCTTCAAGACATTGTCTCCTATGCATTGTTCTCTTAGATTAAACTTTTATCACCGTGATAGGGAACAGGTGGTCACACCATGCTGTTTTTCCAGAGAGCTGTCTAAATCTTCAGCTCAAACTGTTTTTGTTTCTCCCAGTTGCTCCCAGCTTTGTAAAGCCTCCACACTTTTCTTTGTACAGTCTTACTGAGGTCAAAACCTCTTTAATAGTGAGGAGAGCTGTATAACTGCTCCCTAGCCAGGACTGGATAAAGTGCATTGAACTCCCTGTTGTTACCTTCTCCAGTGTGTCTTCATGGTTTTATCTTCCCTCTAAAGAGGAAGGGGAGTAGAGACCTGGCCTTGGATAAAGTATAGGGATTGAGTCTGAGACCAGTCAGTAATGGGACTAGTGCCTTTATAGGACCTGTTTCAAAACTTGGGCATGAGTCTTCACATTTACATGAAGGGATGTGGGTTAATGGTGGAGTTGCCTCCATTAGGTTCAGTTCCTGAGTTGAACTTGATGCTTTTGCAACACTTAACCTTGCGGATATCTAACTAGTTAAAAAACACACAGAGGCAAGGATTTATTTCTAAGCATATAAGTACCTGATGGCTACTTGGTTTAGTTGGTTGCTTAGCTTGTCTCTATAGGTACAGCCATCCCTCCATGTCTTTGTGTGCCACATGCTAAGACTCAACCAACTGCCAGTCAAAGCCATTGAGAAAAAATTTCTGTCTGTACTAGATATATGTAAATTTTTTTCCCTTGTCACTGTTCTCTAAACACCACTATATAACAACTATTTGCAGAACATGTACATTGTATTAGGTATTACAAGCAACCCAGAGAAATCAACCCAGATGACTTAAAATAGTCAAGAGGACTGTATGAATTCTATACAAGTACCTCACTGTTTTGTGTAAGAATCTTAAGCATCATTGGATTTTTATACCGTGGGAGTTCCTGGAACCAGTTCACAGACATGAAGGGATACATACAGACAGACACTGACAGGTGTACAAGCTGAGAACCAGATAATGGAGAATTAGTCTATGAGTGCTGTGCACTGAGGATTTTGTTGTGGAAATTTGATGCATCTTAAGTTTATTTTAAACTTTAATATGGTTATAATTATTCTTCATTCTGAAGTAAAAAAAATCGCACTTGGGGTATTTTATTTTTCTATTGTTTCAGTCAGCAGATCACCCAACTCTGGACAAGGTGTTAGAGGTACAGCCAGGAAAATTAGAGCTTATTATGGATGAAATGAAACAGATTCTAACTCCAATGGCCCAAAAGTAAGAAAGATGTTTTTGGTTTTTTTCTTAGTAAATTTGAAAGAAGCATTTGAAGGAGCCATGTTTTATATGACCCTGGCCAGAAAAAAAGGGGCTGTTTCTTCCCTATTATGAATCTATTCTAATCAAAGTGTAGACATTTTTGTTTGAAACTGTTCTTGTTTCAAGTTGACATTGCTCTTTTTGATATTATATCATATTGGCTAACTGTAATAATGGTTTATAAACTTTCTTAAAGCAATAAAGCTTTTCTTTCTAAATAAAATGTTATAATGAACCTTTGTTAAATATCTTTACAAGTACAATCTGTTGTGTAAACTGGACTGTAAGACTTGGAGACTTGTACCTGTTGCCCTCTTGTCATTATTGCCATAGCAGAATGTTTGGACCAGACTGGGTGGTGTGCCTCCTGACATCACCATCTGCCCACCCTCCATTACTGTGCAGCCTTGGACAGCTTACCTCTGTGGGTCTTGGTTTCCTTTTTTGTAAAATTGAGATAATAGTACCTTCTTCATAGAGTTTTGTGAAGATGAGATAGGTTACTATTTTCAAAGCATTCAGGACAAGGCTTTGTGCATTAAAGCATTAGTTTCAGCTGTCTATTTGCATGCAGCTTGTGGACTTTAAAGTCTTTGATCTTGAACATCAGCCTCCATTGTATGCCTGAACTCAGGTATCACGCTAGGGAGGATAAATTAAGTGGGGGTAGTTGTTCTTGGTTTCACAGTTGTAATGCCGCTGAACTTATTATATTCCTATATTTTGAAGAATGTTTGACAGAAAGAAAAATTAGTCTACATGTGGATTTCTAATGATTTGTCCAGTACTAGGGGGAACAATGTCACTGTCCTTTTCCTAATGAAGTAGAATGTACTTTGGATAGTGATTCATCTTGCTGACTAGATACTAGAAATTTATGCTCTGGTCTTAGTTGTGATAGCACTAAGTCAATGTTAAGTCTAAATGGTTTTTTGGTTTTTTTAAATCTTGGTATTGCTGAAAGATACAATTGATCTTGAGACAAATGATATTTAGTAAAACCATTTCATTTGTTTGGATCATTTTAGAACAACCAGGGCTACCTGTTTGTCTATGACTGTTCTGTCAGATCTGAGACTTTTTTTTCTTCTGTTTTCAGGGAAGCTGTGATTAAGCACTCATTGGTTCATAAAGTATTCCTGGACTTTTTTACCTATGCACCCCCCAAACTTCGATCAGTAAGTTTTTGGAAATCTGTTTTTTAATCAAAGTTAGTTAAACTGGTATGGTGACACACATTTGATCCCGGCCACTTGAGCTTCTGACAGGAGGCTCAATATTGTTTTGAGGTTATCTGGGGCTACGGTGAGTTCCAGGCCTAGCTGGACTGTGTCGTAAGACTGTGTCTCAAAAAAACAGCAAAACCATCAAAATGTGGAGGAAAAGCTATGTAGAAATTTGAAAGATTACTTTGATATATATGTCGTCTTTTAGATATTTTAGGGTTGCGGCTGGAGAGATGACTCAGCAGTGAAGAGCACTGACTGCTCTTGCAGAGGACACAGGTTCAATTCCCAGCACCCACATGGTGACTAACAACTGTCCATAACTCCAGCTCCAGGGGATCTGATGCCCTCTTCTGACCTCTGTGAGCAATGCACAATATGGTTGCACTTAAATACATGGAGGCAATGCACTTATAAAATAAAAAAATAATAAAATATATATTTTTTTTAATTGTAGGGTTGTTTTCTTATTTAGATAACTCACTACACTTGTATCAAACACATCTGCTGTGTGGTCTCTTTCAGTTTTCCCAGAAAATAATAGAACTGACTCTAGTTTTATTAATGGCGTTGAATTTTTCTATTTTCATTATAATTCAGAGAGTATCCTGCTAATCTGAAGTAATTTACATTGAAGGAATGCTCACTATTCCAGTAGTTTTAAATTTAAAAAAAAAAAAAAAAAGCCTGCTTTAAAAGGTTAGGGAAGGATGCTTCATGTGAATCTAAATGACCTGTGAGAACCTGGACCTCAGATGATCGGAGGTGAAGGAACAGGGAAGGTAAAGTGCACTGCCCTTCAAGTGAGTGGTGGGAAGACGTGAGAACTCGCAGCTTAGCTGCCTCAGCTTTGCTCCTTCGTCGCTTACTGTCTCTTTGTCCTTGTGTTCTAATCACAGGGTGACTGACTGCTTTTAACAAATATTCCAGATTGTACATGCCTAAGAATTTTGAAGCTTTCCAGTGAGCATGTAAAATAATTTTTTGCAGCAAGCTCATCCCAAGCTGGTGACCAGAAGAGCGCCTCTTCCAGGATTGTGCTCTTCCCTACAGAAATCAGTGTCTTACACTCTCTAGTTTCAGTAACAGTAGACAGCAGCATTCAGTAACAGCATTTGGAACAGAATGTAAAGTAATGAGACCTTTTCTTTGAAAGCACAGTTGGAACCTGCATTACTCTCCAACCCCTGTAGCTTTGGAGATACTCTTTTTAAGTAATTAAAAAAATATACTTTATCTATTATTATTTTCTTATTTTATGTGTATGAGTATAATGCCTTCATGTGTGTAAGTACACCCATGTCATGCAATGCCTGTAGAGGTCAGAAGAGGGTGCTGGATCCCCTGGAACTGGAGTTATGGATGGTTGCTAGCCTCCAAGTTAGGATGCTGGGTATTGGAACTCCTCTGTAAGAACAGCCAGTGCTCTTACCTGCTGAGCCATCTCTCTAGCCCCTTAAATAATTTTTTTACTGATTCTTTGAGGATTTCATACCTGCATACAGTACTTTTTGAGATTATCCCCCATTCTTCCTCCTGGATCCCCCTCCCCACAGAAGCCATTCATATCCTGTTCTTTTGACAATTCATCAGTCCTTTTTGTGCTGCCCAGATACTTGTGGGTGTGGGGCCATCCACTGGAGCATGGTTAACCTACTAGGGACCACACACTTAAAAAATACGTTTCCTAGCAGCCATTAACTGTCAATAGCTCTTTTTAACTCGAGCCCCCTCGCCCCCCATGCTGGACTTGCATGGTCTTGTGCAGGTCTTTTGTAAGCAACCACAGCTGCTGTAAGTTCATGAATGCAGGGCCCTGTCATCTTTAGAAGACACTGTGACTCCCCCCACCCCCCCCAGTGCTCCCCAACCTCTGGCTCTTACAGTCTTTTGCCTCCTTCTCCACAGTGTTCATTAAGCCTTGGGGGTAAGGGGGATGATACAGACATTCCATTTATGCATTTATGGCTGAGCACTTTAGGAGAGATTCTTAAGTTCAGGTATGTGGTCTGAAATCTGTTCTTGTGAGCCATCCTGGGAGCGGATGTTACGTGAGGGTGAAGTGGCTTGTTCCTTATTGGTGGAGTTGGGGATCTCTTTCACTTTCCAGGGTTTGTATTTATTCACTTGATGTAAGTTTTTTAACTGGGGTCCCTGTAGTTTTTAGCTGCTAAAATTCATTACATACTGGGTGCTCAGACATTGAAAATGAAGAGTTAAATGACCTTTTTGTAAAGAAAAGATCATTTATACATGAAGACCTATCCTAAATGTTAGTACAGAGAATTTTTTGAGAAGAGTGGTTATGGTACAGAATTAATGATTTGTGGAGATGACCCATTGGTAAACTAAGACACAGAAACTTGAGTCAGAATGAATTTTGATTGTGTTTGTTATATAGATATCTTGGAGTTCTTTATCTGGCTGCTCTGTTAAATGTTCCCTTAGCGATGCTCCCTCCTTGACTTCTTTTTCTGTACTCATTGGATTGTATCATACATTGCCTGTGACTACTTTTTAAAGTAGGCATTGGGAAAAATCAAATACGTTGTTTAATAGTAATTACCTACTGTCGATATTTGCTGCTTTTGATGGAAAAGAATGTTTCTAGGAAGAGCTGTCCATAGACTTAAAACTTAGGTTGTTTGCTACATGTGCTATTTTCTTGTCATTCTCTATGCCTCACTGCGCTCCTGTAGATGACAAAAGAAGGAGAAAGGTACAACTGACACCCTCTGTTCCCTAGGAACTAATTGAAGCCATCCGAGAAGCTGTGGTATACCTGGCCCACACACACGATGGTGCCAGAGTGGCCATGCATTGCCTGTGGCACGGTACACCAAAGGTAAGTGTCAGAGCCATGCCTTGTCCGCAGGCCGGATGTGACAGTCCTGTTGCCTTTGGTCTGACTTTGATTCCCAGTTGTACATAAACATTATCTTCTCGGAATTGTGTCTCAGGACCTCACAGGAATTTGGCATCTTCTTGGAGCCTGTGTTTACTCTCTGCTCTAGTTGAGACCTGAGGTGTCATTGAAGGGTAATAAGAGATTAAGCAAGGAACACATTTATGTTCAGCTTTGTGTTCTTTTATTCTTCATTTAATGATCATATTGAGATGGGGAGAAAGGAAGAGATAATCAGTGGTTAGCCAAACATATGTATGCTCATGTAAGTATTAGGTACTTTGAGAAAAAAGGCAAAATTTGAGAGAAAAGATAAAAATGCATCTTAATCATAGAATTTTAACAAAAACGATCAGTTTATTTCTGCCTTCAAATAGTAGTTGTACTTTCTCTACCTTTTCATTTCTGTAAATTTAACTATTCTACAAATAGATTGCAGTATGCTAGATTTTTAAATGTGTATCAGACAGTAGATGGACAGATCTTGCCTTTGCTATAAAAGTGGTTTTGCTAGGTTCGCCTTCAGCTTAGAGTTTCATGGTTCTGTTTTGTGCCTAAATGGATTGTCTCATGCAAGACAGATTATAATAGCCTTTATTGGTGCTTATTGGCTTATTCTGGCTGCATAACTGTTCTTTTCACCAGTGAAGAGAATAATGCTGATGAAAATTTAATATTACATAAAAATTGTAACTTTGAAGTAGATTTTATAAACAAAAGGTCATTGAGACAATTTTTCCTTTTCAAGGACAGGAAGGTGATTGTGAAAACAATGAAGACTTATGTTGAAAAGGTAGCTAATGTAAGTACACCAAGAGTCCATTCTCAAAATGATTTTAATAGTAAGGTGAATTCATGATTCTTGGGGAAATTCTGGAAAACTCACAAAATTAGCAAAGAGAAAAATGTTTAAATTTTTTTAGTGTATATATTTATTGAATTTCGGTCCATTTTATACAAAAGATCTTAATCATCTTTATAATCCCTCCCCCATCTGTGCCCTCCCACAGTCCCCCACCGCCCACTGGATTTCATATATTCTCTTGTATGTGTTAAGGCCTGTTGAGTCAAGTTTGTGGCCCAGGTGTTCCTCAGTGCAAGTTCATCTACTGGGGTCTTGTCTCTCCCAAGACTCTTGCCTATCTTAGAGTCTCTCCCTTAAAGATCAACTCTCCCTCACCTGGCAGTAATCCGCTGCCAATAGTTACTCGGCTAAGGTTGGGACCCGCTCATTTCCCCAGTTCTATGCCTTTCGGGTTCTGTGCCAGCTTCTTTTGTGTCTGTGGAAAAGTAATTTGCACTTGGTTTTTGCTTGTGTACCTACCTTAAAGTTGAAGCTGGTGGTCTCGTGTTCATTGTCCTTGACCTTATTCCTTCACCTAACTCATCATTTGACTCCTCATCCACATAGGAGCAGTTTTGTGTCTACCTCACTCTTAATGACTATTACAGTACATAATTGTACCCTAACTCACTTGGCCAGTTCTTTCTGTTGAATAACAGATAAATTGTTAGCACTGTTGCACATATTTTATATGTAAGTTCCCGTACTTATGTAGAAGCATGTCTAGGATAAATCAGAACCAAAATTGCTTAGTCAGAGCACAAGGCATTTTTATATTGATGTTGCTAGTTGCTTTCCAGTGAGCTCAAGCCACCTTAATTCCTACTGATATAAAGATTCTGCTTTTTCTCAAACTCTTTGAGTTCACGTTACCAAAATTTTCCTGTTGTCTATAAAATATGTAGAAAATTTTATGTATTTCATCATTTTAGTTATTATGCTTAATTATTTCTCTAAAGCATTAATTCATACATTTAAAGCCATTTGTCTTTTCTGTGAATTGACTATATATTTTTTTCCCTGTTTAGTTGATTTGGGGTTTTATATAGCTTATGTGTTTGATTATTCTTCTCCAGATAGTTTTTTAGACCATATGATTAGTAAGTTCCTCATTCTCTCTAACTGAAATTTTGTTACCCATCGTGTCCTTCAGACCTGGCTCTGAAATGACATCTAGGATTCTAGTAAGAATATGTTAGGGGCTGGAGAGATGGCTCAGCAGTTGGGAGCATTGATTACTCTTGCAGAGGACCTGGGTTTGGTTCGCAGCACCCATATGGCGGCTACGAACTGACCTTTACTCCAGTTCCAGGGGAATCCGAAGCCCTCTTCTGACCTCCACGGCATTGCACGACACAGGTGCACTCACATGCATGCAAGCAATACACTCATACACATAAAATAAAAATAATATTTTTTAAAAAAGAATGTGTTGTAAGCTCTGAAAACAGGGCTCTTTTGATTTTTAACATGAAGTAGAAGTATGTGGGTTTAGTTTTTTCTTTTTTTCATTTCTTTGTTTTGGAGCTTGTTTTGGTTTTGTGTACATGTATTATGAATATTGTGTGTATGATCATTATGTCTGGGTTTACCCATTTCTTTTTTCATGATTTGAATAGTGTGTGTGTGTCTGTGTGCGTGTCTGTGTGTTGTGTACATGCCCCCTCCATTGTTCTTTCATTTAATTACCTCAATTAAAATTTTCAAGTAACCATTAATTAACTGAATACTTATAGATAGATGTGAATCAGCTTTATATCTGGAATATACTTAGGTCTTGATGAGAAAGAAAGTTCATTTGAGTGACTTATTTACCTTGTTTATGTGATGTTAGACACTATTGTGTTGACAACCTTCATAAAGTGACTTTCTCTGTGTGTGAGTAGGATAAGAGGGAAAATCTATACAATATTTTTGTTGTTGTTGAAACAGGGTATCAGTGTGTGGCTCTGGCTTGTTTGGAGCTTGCTGTTTAGGCCCAGCCTGGTCTAGCACTACTATGCCCAGCTTTTTTGTGGGTTTTATGTGGTAGGGGGCAGGGTGCACAAATGAGCCACAGCACTTGTGTGGAGGTTAGAAGACAATTTGCAAGCATCAGTACCCTCCTTCCATTATATGGGTCCTGGGATTGAACTCAGATGTCAGACTTGGCTGCAAGTGCCTTTACGCATTGAGCTGTCTCACCAGCTTGTATACAGCTTCTGTAACCTCTTCTGTCTTCCCGTTGTTACAGGGCCAATACTCTCATTTGGTTTTACTGGCGGCATTTGACTGTATTGATGATACTAAGCTTGTGAAGCAGATAATCATATCAGTAAGTACTTCTGAGGGCTTGAGAAGCTGCCTTGACCAGTTGTTGGTTTCAAAGTTTAATTTCACACATGCTGTATAAAAACTTTGATCTGTTCTTTCTGTTCAGTGTTTTTTGTGACTTTTTAGCTATCATTTAAGTTTTCTTTTTAGAGACTTGCTGTGTTTGTTTATAAGTCCCAGCCTTGTAACTTGATATTGTTTTAAGCCTTTAAAAGATTAGCTAAAGTAAAGCTTGACACTTCTATTTTGGATTAGGGTTGCATGGTTTTTTTTTTTTTGTTTTTTTTTTTACACTATATGATATGCTAAAAAATGAAAAATTAGCAAAGCAGTGCTTGGATTTGATCAGTGATCAGTTCAACACTGTTGAGTTTAGCACATACCTGTGGACAAGCTGTCTCTGCAGTTACCCAGGTTATTGATACCCCTGGACTGGGTTAGGCTGATGGAGAAGAAAAACTCCTAACACTCACTCAGTTGTGCTTACTACAGCTTTCACAAAAGCTTTTGTAGGGTCGGACTAAATGTTATTACTCAAGTTGAAATACTAACTTCCTCTTCACATTTTAGCAATTACCTCTAGCCCAGTGTAATAACCATAAAGAGGGACTACTTGAATCAAATAATTGTCCCTAAACTTGTCTTTTAAAAAGCCTAAGCTGTCATCTTAGAGAAACTATTCCATAGTGAAAATTATAGTCTGAATGATTTGTCTTTCCTTTACCCTGCTGTGACTGTTCCTCTCTGACTTCTGGTTCTATGGTCCTCTTTTTCCTTCCCTTCCCTTATATGAAGATGCATGTATATTGAATATATATTATGGTGGAGACTGTCAAAGGAGAAAAAATAAATTGCAATATTATAGCAGTGACCAAAATTGGGAATGTTTTGAAAATCACTTATGTATAAACATAGGCTATTCATCTGAAAATCACATGAGCCTTTATGTTTGATACATGAATGGGGCCCTTGGGGAAATCTTACTGACAAATGGTACTCTCACATTGAGCTGAGAAAAGGCCATGGGTAAGGCAGAACTTACCCATGGTCGGGTGGGGGTGCTGTGGCCTCTCTGACCCATCTGGATGAGCAATGCTGGGTGTTACAAAGTGTGTCCACTTAATGAAGGGAGGAAAAAGATCTGTTTTCCGAGATGCCAGCTGTGAGTCTGAATGTATGTGAATTTCTCATGCCCCTAACTGTCGTTTTTCAACTTTGTTCTTGACTATTTTAAGATTATGATGACTTTCATTTGGGGTAGGATTGTGGGCAGAAATGAGTTGGCAAGACTTTTTGTCACAGACTGACTATTTTGACATGTTCTTGTGACTTTATATTACCCTTTTGACTCAGATCAGTAATGATTGTTTTTCATTCCTGTGACAGATGTGAGGCCATAGAATTGGCTAATGAATAAAGTTGTTTCACAAAAATGGAAACAGACTGGCCTATTGAAAGTTTGCTTTTGTTTAATAGTTTCACAAAAACTAAAATTTGCATAACTTCCAAATGGATTTCAAGGAGACCCAAACTTTCTTCAGGATTTGCCAGAATTATGATAGATTGATCTTTTCCAAAGATTCATCTCACTCAAAGTTGGTATTGATAATTTTAATTTCTTATGCTTATCAGTTGGAATCCCACAGCTATTGAACCCACATTCCTAAAGACTAACTTCAGACAGCTCTGATTTGTGTCTCACTGATGAATGCTCCACAGGTTCTGTGTATCATTAAGCTGCATAGTTAGTGATAAAGCTGTGGAATGCTAATTGCTCTTATATTTTCCCACCCATTCACCACAGAAACTTATGTAGTGCTTTTTAAAGATCACCAAGAAAACTTAGAGTCTCAAAGTACTGTATTCAGGGTATACAGATTTCACAAAATGTCAAGCTGAAATCACAGCCTGGTCAGCAGTACCTTTTACCTTTCAAAATGGAAACAAGATGCTTCTTACTTTACTTTTAAAATAAAAAGCATACTTTATAAAATTTGATCCAGTTTACCCTAAAATCACCAGTATGCTCTGCAGCTGGTTTGACATCAGTGTTCCTTGGGAAAACAATGCCTGTATTAGCCAGTTACCATTTGGGATGAGTACGTATCAGAGTGTATTTTAAATTCCTTATCTTTAAAATATACTCAAATATATACTGAGTAATATACTGAGTCCTTAGCCTTCCACCATCTGACATAATGAAGTAAAAACCAATTGATATAATGGCTCACCTATAATCTCATCACTTTGGAGGCCAAGACAGGAGAATTGCCTTGAATTTGAGGCCATCTTGGGCTGCCTACTGAGAGCCCATCTTTAAAAAAGAAATGAGGACTAGAAAGATGGCTCAGTGGTTAAGAACACTGGCTGTTCTTGCAGAAGACCTGGGTTCGAATCCCAGCACCCACATAGTAGCTAACAACTGTCCATAACCAGTTCCAGGGGATCAGATAGCCTCTTCTGTCCTCCACTGGCATTGCATGACACGGGTACACTTACCTGCATGCAGGCAATACACTCATACACATAAAATAAAAATAAATGAAACATGACAGACGCAGTCCAGGCTTGATTTGTATGCCCATCCTTGAACCTGTATCCCAGCCCCAGCCCTACTGTGGTGAATTTGGCATTTATTACTCATGCACATTTCCTTATCTGTTCTGCAATATGTAGAGTATATGGCTTTGTACATTTACCATTTCTGAGTTCTTGCATGTATTTTTCAGCCTACTGTCTTTGTTTGGCTTTGTGTTATGAGATTCACCATCAGGGGTTGGCAAGCCTTTTCATAAGAGGCCAGATAGTAATTATTTGAGACTTTATGGACCATATGTGGTCTGCACTTATTGTATTATTTGTTAATACCTTTAAAATGTAAAAATACAAATGAAGACAACCTTCTTGGTGTTTAACAGACATACTTTGAGGCCTATACTAATCTGGTCAGAGGGACATATAGGACAGTTTTTGCTCCTTGCTCTCCAAGGTCGATTAAGTTCCAGGGGACTATGAGCATCTCTCAAAACGTCCTGTAACTGTGGGGAATCACCTGTTCTCTTGACCAAGGAGGCCATGGAGACCCTACCAGATGGACTTGAACCAGTGTCCAGTCTACAAAGAGGAGGGTCAATGCAGAGGAAACATTTCCTCTGTGCTTCCAAGTGAAGCTAGCCACGGTCTGGCAGGATCTTTGACTTATCTCCACATAGATTGAACTGGTAAAAGAAAGGAGTCAGGGGCTCCTCCCAAGCCCATGTGACCCCTGAGGAACAGATCCTTGAACGATCTTAAGAGTAAAAATAAATTGGTTAATCTGGGCCAACTGTATGGTCTTTAATACCCAAAAGGAAAGTGTCTTAGTTTGTTTATCCATTGCTATGACAAAATACTCTGACCAATACCAACTTGGGGAGGAAAGGGTTTATTTTATCTTACATCTCCTGGGTCACAGTTCATCTGTGTTCATCCTGGAGGCAGGAGCTGGAGCACAGGCCATGGAGGGACTCTGCTTACTGGCTTGCTCCCCTGGCCCCTTGCTCAGCCTGCTTTCTTATGCAACACAGGCCCACCTGCCCAGGGATGGCACCACCCACAGTGGGCTGGGCCCTCCCGCATCACTCAACAATTAAGAAGGTGCCTCATAGACATGGCCACAGGCCAGTCCAATGAAGGCAATTCCCCAATTGAGGCTCCCTCAACCCAGGTGTGTCAAGTTGACACGAACGCTATCCAGCACAGAAAGTAACCAAAGTGATCAGTATAATTCTTTAAGAGTCCACGTGTATAGCTAAAGGCTACATAACAAGAAACAATGCCAAACAGGAGATACCTTCCTTTGAGTTATTGGCCAGGGTGGCCCAAGAGACTCCCAGACAGTAACCCAGCATAGAAGTGGGAAAATGAACAGTAGACCCCAATCTTATCTAAAGGCATGTTGGTAACTGATTGCTGCTAGATGAGGAACAGCTGATCTTCCTAAAACAAGGCACTTTAGATAGGCTGATAGATTCAGTTGATGGACTAGCACTGGGTAATGGCTGGGGGCACTGATAACATAGTGGACAGTAACAGGGATGTCAGAGTATATGGGCTCCAGTGGGGTTGGGGGAGGGGCTATGGGTTGGTGTCATTTGGGATGCAGGTATAAAGATGAATAAGATTGTTTGGGATGTTCTGTATGAAATATACACAAAAAAATCAAAGGATTTGCAGAAAAGGGACAGGGGCAGGACTTCACCTAGGTACCACCATTTGCTCATTTTTATCTAAGTCATTCATTTTTAGTGACAAGTAGCAGTCCACTAAATGAGTATAATGAGGCTTGTTTTTATTTTCATGATGGCCCTTAGTATTTTTTGCAGTTTATAAAACTATTTTCTGCACTGGATATGTAGCTCATTTGGTAAAGTGCTTACTTAGCATGCACAAAACCCTGGGTTCTATCCATCTCAAGCGCTGCATAACCAGGCATGATCATGCAGGCCCATGATCCCAGCAGTTAGAAGATGGAGGCAAGAGGATCAGAAGATCAAAGCCATCCTTGGCTACAAAGCAAGTTCAAGACCAGACTAGAATTCAGGAGACTTTCTTAAAACCAAACTCTTTTTGGAGGGTTTGGGGCATAATTCAGTGGTAGAGCTCCTATCTAGCATGGAAGAGCCTTCAGTTCCTAGTACTGCAAAATATAAAGAACAGAGAAACCCTAGAAACCGTTCTTTAATTTTTATTGGCTTTAGGGAGCTGGAGTGATGGCTCAATGTTTAGGAGCACTGACTGTTCTTGTAGAAGACCCAGGTTCGAATCTCAGCCCCCATATGGCAGCTACCAGGGGTCCATAACTCTAGTTCCAGGGAATCTGATGCCCTCTTCTGTCCTCTGCAGGCACTGCATAACATGGGTATACTTACACACATAAGTATAACACTCATACATATAAAATGAAAATAAATCAAATTTTTTTAAAAATTTTATTGGCTTTGCTATTCCATATAATTCTGTGGCTAATGTATTGTGTGTTCCAGTGTCAGTTCTATTGCTGTGATAAAATACCCTGACAAAGGCAGCTTGGGGAAGAAAGAATTCTTGGCTTAATGCCAGGTTGCAGTCCATTATTGTAGAGAAGTCAAGGCAAGAACTTAAAGCATCACATGGCAGCATCAAGAGCTGAGAGTAAAAGCATAGAACATCATGTCAGCCTTGCTCTTCTTACACTGCGCAGCACCCCCTCCCTAGGGAATGGTGCTGCCCACCATGGGCTAGGTCTTCCTATATTAATTAGCAATCAAAAACGGTAACCCCCAGACATGCCCTCAGGCTAACCTAATCTCAATAATAATTCCTCAATCAGACTCTTCCCAGATGATTCTAGGTCGTGTCAAATTGATAATCAAAACTAACAGCACAGTGTGTTTTCTTGTACACAGGTAGATGTTTCTCTAAGGTGTTTCCTTATCAGAGTTGCTGAGTTTCCAGAGGTGCACATGTATAGAGTCCTGTGTCTGTATTTCCCACCCAGCCACTACAAAACCCATTATCTTACACAGCATTTTTTAAAACAGCCAAGAAACCCTTGTATTAGCATTCTCTTTAGAGAAATTGGATTTATGGAAATATCATGTTCAACATGGGCTGCTAATCACTTTCTTTTTTCTGAACCCTTCTCTAGGTATTGTTCTCTGTTGGCCCAGGCAGATCTCTACCCCTCACTTGCTATTTTCTTTATGTTATTCATTAATATTAACTGCAATCTGACACATGATTCACAAACTCAGAAATGCCCTTAGACTAGGTGAGTGAATGAGTGAGACAGAAGGGAGAGGACCATGGAATGGAAAGTGCCCATGTGCAGGGCTACCACTCCCTTCCAGCCTTTGGCAGTGTGAGTTCCAAGGTGACCATCCTTAGGTTAAGTAATGTTAAATATCTCACATCGTGCAGTCAATCTTCAGGTTTTTGTTAATCTTGCCAAAGTAAAACCCTTACCCATTACACTAGCTTTAGGCCTTTCATTTCTTTGAATGCAGCCAAAGGGGTAGACTTGGTAAAGTCCTACTATAATATAATCTCTGGAAACTTCCTCGAGCTCTAACCTTCCCTCAGCACTTCTGTTGCTGTCTCCTATTTAAATTTCTTCTATTTTTCGCTTTCCATTAACTCTCTTGCCTGTTCTCAAAGACTTCTAGATAGGGAGAGAAAACAAATTTATCCATCATTTTAGAACAATAGCTGGTTGTCTCCCTTAGCTACAGGTGGGCACTACAGTATTAGAGACCAAGATTTTGAAGTCTTACATCTGAGCAACACTTTCTGGTTAGGTGAGAAATAATTGTCTAAATAACTTTTTGGATAGACTTAAGCCTAATGTCTGGGGAGTGTAATATCTTGAACTCTTAAAGAAATATATTGATGACTTTACTCTTTGGTTATACTTTCCTTTTGGGTGTTTAAGACCATACAGTTGGCCCAAACAAATCAATTTATTTTTACACTTAAGGTCATTTGAAGATCTGTTCCTCAGGGGTCACATGGGCTTGGGAGGCGCTCCGGGATCCTTTCTTTAACCAGTTCCATCTGTGTGAAGAGTCAAAGGTCTTGCTTGACCATGAAAGTAAATCCTGAATCCATCACTCTAGAGTTCAGCCTTGGAAGGCAAAAGAAAAATAAGGAGGAACCCAATAGAGGGATGCTTTTGGAAGCCCTTATCAAGAAACTCCAGTGGACTCTCATATGAACATTTGAAAATTGCCCTGTTCTGACTTTTTTCTAGTTCCCTGTCTAGAACTTGTAATGATAATTACTCTTGCCTTTACTTCTCCTTCACATCTCCTATTCTTCCCTTAGAGACAAGAGTTACGCAATTTGGGAGTCTTTTAGATAGACCGACTGAAGGGGTACTCCAATTGCCTCACCCTGTGTCCCTGTTCAGCATGGAAGAAGCCAGAGTGGTCTGCGTCCCGATTCCCTATTGGCAATTTGGGTAACCCCTTCAGAGGATGGTATGATAGGAATAGGAGGTAGGAATTGGCTAGGCAGTTAGGGTAAAAAGACCCCAAAAAGCTCCCAAATACTTTTGACATTTCGACAGTTTTGGCCTTTGGAACAGAGTGTGTTGCTAACAGGCTCGAGGACATTTTGACTTTTAGCCCAGAAACTGGCTACATTTCTTGGGGGTCTTTTTACCCTAACTGCCTAGCCAATTCCTGCCTCCTGTTCCTATCATGCCATCCTCTGAAGGGGTTACCCAAATTGCCAATAGGGAATCGGGATGCAGACCGCTCTGGCTTCTTCCATGCTGAAGTTAAAGGAATCTTTAACACTCTCCAAGCCACTAGATTAATCCTTACATGTGGAACCCATGGAAGGAATGCATTGCTGACTTGCTGCCTCCTCTCTTTCCTCTTTAGTCCAAGAAAACGATGTCAGTTAAAGTATACAGAGAGCATGTTAAAGGTCCCCTGTGTTTTGGACACCTAACCTAAACTACATAGAACAATTCTGCTTTGGGACCTCTTACTTTGAGATTACAAAAAGATCCCTACCCTGTAGCATGTTTTATATGTTTTTTTGCCTTCTCTTTTTCATTTTCCCTTATGTTACTAAAATTTTAAGTTCATTTTTTTTTCCTGTTAAGAAATTATATATCCATCTTAAGTTGGCTAGACCTATTGAGTGTTTTCTGAAAACTTAGGTTTCCTTCAGAAGTAGTTCAGAGAGCCAGTAAGGATTGGAGTCCTGGAACCTGGGTGTGCTGTTGTGAAGGTCATTCTACTTGATAGATGTACAGTGCTCAGCAATATCTGGCTCCTGGTAGGCACTTAGCAAGTGCTAACTACTGTTAATAGGTGTCAAAGGACAGAGACTTGTGCAGAAGTTGAAGGAGGCTTGGGTTCCATTGACAAACAGGATCCTGAATTGTGATCCTGTGGTAGATGACTGACTGACTGACTGACTGACTTTTTAGCTTAGGCCCTTGCACTAAAATCACTAATCCTGAATAATTAGTTATATATTTTAAGAACAGACCTGTATCTGTTGTCATAGAATTTCTTCCCTTCAGAAGAGGCTATATGTTTTCTTTGGCAGTGACAGATTTGGAGTCAGAGGACCAGAACTAGTCAGATCCCTACTTCTGGCCCCTAACCTGGAACTGAGTTGTCTCTGTGGTCCCAGTTAATTTAGGCTGCTTAGACACACCTGGGTTTGACCATTTATAGTTGGTTAGAAGAAGCAGGAATATTGTAACAAAATAAAGATGAACTTTGCATTTTCTCTGGTGATTCACCCAATACCCCAGCACTCAGGAGGCGGAGGCAGATCATGAGTTCAAGGGTTGTGTAGGCATCGTGGCAAGAACGTATCTCCAAACAAGTAAAATAAAGGAATTTAGTGACTTTGTGTTTTTGAAACATCAGATATATATAGGAACTTAGTTTTAGGACAACATCACTGTTGCTAGTTGAGTTCTAACCACTGGGTATGCTGATGGCAACATCATGCAGGGCGATGTGTGACTGCTCAGCCGAGTCTTTCATGATTTGTCTTCCCTTCCTCTGCTCTTGTTCTTCACTATAGTAAAAGCCTTCATTTGCTGTGAATAAGCAACCTAGCTTTAAGCCTTTATCTACTTTAACAGGCATATTGGAGCAGGGAAATTCTGAGGCATGTTCTTTAAGACTCATGCTACATTTAAGTGCTGTTCTTAGTAATAGTGGCCCAATAAATCCTCTCGTAATGCATGAAGATAGCTCTTCTAATTTTTTTTAGTAGTTTTTTTATTATTTTTATTTTATGTGTAGATTTGTATTGCCTGCGTGTAGGTAAGTGTACCCATGTCATATAATGCCCATAGAGGTCAGAAGAGGCTGTGGGATCCACTGGGACTGTAGTTACGGACAGTGGTTACCTGCCATGTGGGTGCTGAGATTCGCACCCAGGTCTTCTACAAGAACAACCAGTGTTCTTAACCACTGAGTCATCTCGCCAGCCCCAGCTCTTCTATTTTTTTAAAGTTCGTGGTTGTGATCAGTTAATATAAATTTATTGTTCAGTAATACCCATCACAGTAGAAAACTAATTTTGTTCTGAATGTAATTCTTTGTGCTTTAATAAGAAATGTCAGAACTCTACAGTTGCTAGTAAGTAGACAGAGGAAAATAATTGTCTGTTCTTCATTACCATTTGAATCCCAACCGTACTTTGAGAATGTAAATAATAATGCATTTTTGTTTATGATTTTATAGGAAATCATTAGTTCCTTACCCAACATAGTAAATGACAAATACGGAAGAAAAGTCCTGTTGTATTTGCTGAGTCCCAGAGATCCTGCTCATATAGTACGAGAAATCATTGAGGTTCTGCGCAAGGGCGATGGCAATGCACACAGGTAAAGGCCTGCAAATGGCTTGGCTCCTTTGCTTCCTGCCTGGGTGGGCTACTTATTATGAGGAGCACATGCTTCCAGAAATCCACATACATGCTCCTTTTCTCCTCTTTCCCTCTCCCTCTTTCTCTAAAACTTCTCAAGAGATAATTCCATTGTTGAGCTTGTACTTTGATAGAGTCTAGGGGTCTTATCTTGAAAAGGAAATCAATCAGGCTTTCAAAAGAACACCTCTGAGCACTTGGCACATAGTAGGTACTCGGGTGTGTGGTTTTTTGTTTTGCTTTACTTTCAAAGCTGGTGTTGTATTTTAATACCCTGAAAACAGAATCCATAATATACTCTGAACATGTGCTGCCTGATGAGATCATTTATTTTTTTTTTAGATTAATTGGGTTTGGAGGTTTTGTTTGTTTATTTATATTATAGAAAGCAAGCTTCTTTCACTGAGTGCTTGTTTTATGCCGGGTAGTTGAGATCTGGGGTGCAAAGATGGAGAATAGCAGATACTCTCCAGTTACGGTCTATGTATTCAGCAGAATAGACATTTCCAGAGTATGCCCCACACTGATAAGCTCTTAGAAGTTTGTGATAAAAGAACATCCATTTATCTTACCTTACTACCTTATCTAACATATTTCAACAGTAAGAAAGACACAGAGATCCGCCGACGTGAGCTCTTGGAATCCATTTCTCCAGCTTTATTAAGCTACCTGCAAGGACATGCCCAAGAGGTGGTGCTGGATAAGTCTGCCTGTGTGTTGGTATCAGACATTCTGGGATCTGCTACTGGAGACGTTCAACCTGCCATGGATGCCATTGCTAGTTTGGCAGCAGCAGAGCTACATCCTGGTGGCAAGGATGGAGAGGTGACATGCTATTTACTCTGACAGGCAGGAGAGCCACAGGGCCTGTAAAGATACTAGTCAGGGAGAACATCACTACAGTTTCAATAATAATACCAATAGGACATGGGAAAATTGTCAATTCAGAATGCCATACTGATAATACTTCTTCTCAGAAATGCAGTGATTCCATGTTATCTACAGAGTTGAAAACAAGTACTTTGACTCTCTTGTCTATAGTTGGCTGCTTACTACCTTTCTAGAAGAGCCCATGCTGTTTGTATTTGCTCTGGCTGCTCCTTCCTTCAGTGTGGCATGCTGCGTTTTTCTCCACTTCCCTATGCCCCATCTATGCAAAGTCTGAGTCATCACACAGTCCCCACAATTTTCCTGACATCTTCCCTAATTTCACCTCATTAAAAAAAGATTTGCTCTTCCAGGTGTGGTAGTGCATATCTATAAAACCAACACTTGAGAGGTGGAAGCAGGAGTATGAGGAGTCAAGGTCATCCTCTGCTACATGCTAAGTTCAAGGCTTGCTGAACTAGATGAGATACTCTTGGAACAAAAACTAAAATACTTGTTCATTCTGGTCACTCTTGCTTACATACTTGGGCATCTGTGATTCTACTTGAGCCTTAAGTTCACAGATTTGATGCACCTGACGTGCTAGACTCACCCAGCACTGTCTCTTAAAGGGTTGCCATTCCAAAGACAAACTATTAATGTTTACCAAATAATTCAGTTAATATTGGAACAAAAGCTCTGAAGGACAGCTACAGCTTCTGTGGAATTGTGTAGGAGCCAATTTGCTCCCCAGTGTCCTTGCTGGAACTTAAGCTAAGCTGAGGCCTGAAGAATTAGCAGCTCATCCAAGAGTGGTAGAAAAGCAGAGTGCGGCCAGGAGAGCGAGGGTGCTGCAGCCTGGGAGAGGGAGGAGTACGTGGGTTTGAGGCTCAGACTTGGAAATCCTCAAACAAACAAGAAGAAGGCAGGGGCTGGATCCGCAGGGCCTTTGTCTCATGCTGACTGAAGGGCCCTCAAAACTCCTAACCAGCAGCTGCTTAGTGGAAACGACCGTTTTTTGAAGCACTGAGCACTGCTGTCACTTAGTCCCACAAGGCCTTCGTGCACTAAATACAGTGACCTTTCGTTATGATCCCTGGTATTACCCAGGGGTGTAAACTAAGCTGTACAGGTTCTCTGCCTTTCATTCATTAATCAAAAATGTAATACAACGTCAAGAATGCTTAAAATGACAGAGTCTCTGCCCTTAGAGTTTAGGATTCGCTGGAGAGACACACCTTACTACAAAGTAGTTGTTACCTTGAGTTAAATTCACAGTGTATGTGAGCTGAGTGCTAACTTCTACACCTTAATATAGGAACTTGTAACTACTACTGTGGGTATCTCTTCTGATGATCTCTTTCCTGTTCTACCACCTTCACAAGCACTGTATCATATTTACAGCCAGCTTCCACAACCTCAGCCATTTCCCCACATCAGGACCCAGGCAGGAAGGAGCAAGAGCAGTGCCTGTCATGCAGTTAGCTAGAACTAGGTGAGGCACATCTGCTTCTGGACCAAGCTCTGGTGGAGCAACTGAGTGGCAGTACTGCTTGAAGCCATTGAGTATGTAGGCCCTGAGAACACAGTAGGGCCTTTAGAGGAGGCAGGTTGGGGTATGCAGCACCAGCAGTCAAGAAAGCTGGGAAGGGAGCTGCCTATTGAGTAAACCCAGCACCTTTCCGCTTGGCAGTTTTGATCTGAATAAAAGCCATTCGAGATAGTGAGTGCCTAGCATGCTTTTCAGAAAAACAAGTGGGTTGTAAATCTGAGAAGCTCAGATCCTGCCCTCTAGGAGCAAAGTGGATGAATGTGTGATAAAATAGTTCTTTGTATGGAAACTGCCTGTTGTTTCTCATACTAAATAAGGGAAGGTCCCTGGTACTGAGGCCCTTGAGAAGGAATGTTTTCATGTGCTTGTTGAGGTCATGTAAATGGTATTTAGACATCTTTCAGCATTGCATGTCGCATCATGTTTCTGCTAGTGCTCTGCCTCATGGGTATCGCAGTGCAGTGCATTACCATGGGAAAACTGGTCAGGTGCACCAAATTTTAGACAAACATTGTGGTGCTATTCAAACTAAGCTCCGAAAGCCCTGACTGAACTACCTCACAAGGGCTGCATAGCTGTGTTTGTTTGCAGCCTGGGCAGCAGAGTAGGTCTGTAGTCCCTTAAGCTGTCAAAGGCATTCTGGATAAAGATCTCGTAAGCTGGTGAAGCTTGGATGCATCCTTATTTGTACGTGGGATAACAATTGACTTACAGGCCAGGGATAAATGAGAGCATTTTTTTTTTTATTGAATTTCTGTGATTTTGGTATTGCCCCCTTAGTGCCCCCCACTCAATTTAATGTACTCTATTATAGTATAGAAAATAAGGCCAATAGATTCTTATTTGTGTTCCCAAATGTTCTTCAGTGTGGGTCTATCCACTGGAGCCCAGTTAGCGTACCAAGACTCCCATGTTTATAATAGACTGACTCTCCCCTTCCCAGTAGTTATTAGTTGCATAAATTTCCATAGGTTGGGTTGGGGTTTCTTACTTTCCCATGTCTTTGCTGGGATTTTCTGGTTTGAGCTTGCATGGGACTTGTGCATGCAAATGGCAGCTTTTTGAATGAACACTTCATGCTTCTTGTAGCTTCATGTTGCTGAGCATCCTGCAGGACATCTGGTTCTCAAGTGGTTAATAGAGCAAGATAAAAAGGTGAAAGAAAATGGACGAGAAGGTAGGTTGTGCAGCCTACTTTTGTATGTCTTATATGGAATTTCTGTGATATATGGACTTTATAAAGCTGGCCATTTAGGTTCACATGGAGTTTCTCAAGTGTATAGAAATCATGCTTCTAAATAAGTAATGATTAGCTGGTTATAAAGAATGATTTTTCCCTGTATCCAAAAATCCTTTAAATTTCAAGGGCTAGGGCTATAGTTTGGTGGTACAGTGCTTGCCTAGCATGCACAAGATCCTGGGTTCAATCCCCAGAGACATAAACAAGAAACACAGAAACAGAGGATAGAATTGAAAAGGAAGGAAAACAAACGGGGTGGGAGGATAATTTCTGGCGAGGAAGTAGCATTTGTCTATACCCTAGCACTTAGTAGGAGGTTTACAAATTTGAGGCCAATCTGAGCTGTATAATGCTCCCTCACCCTCCCTCACTCCCATCTTCTCTCAGCACCTGGGCTAGGTAAGTTCCCTAAACTGTCGTTCTGTTCCTTGAGGGTGTTGCTGCAGCACTGTGCCCCATTGCAGGCTTTTTTTTTTTTTTTT